TCTGGATGTAATCTCGTTTGCCACTCTGTCCAATTTCCTACATACTCTCCTTCGGACAGATCATAGTTTAAATATCTTTCTCATAGCGATGTGAATTTGGACTAACTACCTTTAAGCATTAATTTCATCATCTATTAAATGGGAATAATAGACCTACCTCATAGGATTTTTGGGGAATCAAATGAGATACTGCATGTAGGATGTTTACTATCGTACCAACACCCACAGAGGGTCCACGGTAGTCTAGATCAGCATAAATCAGCATAAAGTAGAACCAAACCAGTATCTTCCCTCTCTGGACATTCTCTGTACGATGGAAAGTAACTCCACTGCCTTTCAAGTCACGTTTGGGTTGTTTGTAGTTTTCCATGAATACCATGGCCATGCTCCACTAACACAGATATTCAAGACTATCTTATTTTAGTCCAGCCACCCTCCGACTCTAAGACAAATCTTGAGGCCAAAGATAGGGCCCAGTAGTGATGAGAGCTACTGAGAAAGGGACAGAGGAAAGAACAGGTTGTTGAGAATACAGATTTGCAGAGCTTGAAGGTTATTCACCCCATGGAAAGAACATGTGCTTTTGTGTGCATACAGATTAGAGTTTAAATCCTGGTTCTGCCACTTCCTGGCTATGACCTTAAGAGCAAGTTATTCAATTTCTATGAGTCTCAGTTTCCTCACCTGCAAAACGGGGCTAAAACTATCAGCTTTGTAAGATTATTGTGAAGGTTAAACAAGAAAACATATATAAAACACTGAGGACAGCATCCAGCACATAGTAGGTGCTCACTACATGTTGATGTCTTTATTCTGTTTCTCTGCAGCAGCTTATTACTCAGGCCTTCAGCTCATTAGGACTAGCTTCCCTGAGTCATTTCCTTCTCCAGAAACAATGCTACTTCATAATTCACAAAGTAAAGTACTAGTGCTATCTCACCTGAACTCAGGAGGCAGATAGAATGTTATTCTTATTTTACAAATTAAAAGTGAAACAAGCAACTCATCCCAGGGCGGTGGAACCGGAGTCATCTTCTTACTCCAAGCTTGTAGCTTCTTCCCCTGTGCCCCCTCTGATCCGAAAAAATCAGCTAAGTAGCTGTTGGCTTGGATGGCCGAGGTGAAGGATCCTCCAGGCCATCTGCTCACCCTCCTCACTTACTCAGCTTCATTTCCCATGTCTCCCCTGCATGAAGCATTTGCTTCAGCAGCAATTCCGTCTGCCCTGTCCCACACTCGATCACTCTCTTCTACCTGCCATTTTCTTGGTCTGCGACTCACCCACATTTCCACTTTGCCCCAGCACCCAGCTTAAATTTGCAGCCTTCCAAGACCAGAAAGCCTTTTGGGATGCGCTGCACCTACCTGGGCTCATGCCCTCACTCACCAGCCCCTCAGACTCAGAGTGGCACTGCCCTACCTTGCACTTGACGACAGGCAGCTCGGAAAGAGGGTTCTTCGGGAGTTGGTGCAGCTGTGACCTTGGTTCCCCCGGCAAGACAAAAAGCTCCTTGAGGGCAGGGGTTGGGTCTTCCAGTTCTCTGGTCTCCCCAAGACAGGGCTCTGCCCACAGTGGGCGATCAAAGCTGCTGATTGCCTGACAGGGGGATGGACTGGATGACCTCTGAGGTCACACTCAGCCCCCTGACTGCATACAATGATACCTGCTCCAGCTACTTTTTGTCTTTGCTCCCCCAACAAGTCGTGCTCTGTGTGTGTCTAAGCCTTTGTATAAGTTTCGGTCTGGGATGCTATTTCCCTCCTCTACCTGGAAAACTGTTATTAATCTTTCAAGGACACAGTTCGTCTGTCACTTTCTCCATGAGGTATCCCCTCCCTGATTCCCCAGACAGAATGAATAGAGCTCTCTAACTGATATCTCCATAGCATTCATTTGACAGCTATTTGTTGGGTGCTAGCCATGCCATACTAGGCACCAGGAAACAAGTTAATGAGACAGTTCTGCCCTCAAGGATCTCATGATCTAATGGGGACACCACTAAGTAAAAGACAAGTGACTACAGTGTGACAGGTACGTGGTGGAGAGAGGCCCAGGGGACTATGAGAGAACAAAGAAAGTCAGGAAAGCCTCCTGGAAGAGGGGACTTCAGGGCCTCCACTATGGCTTTCAGCACCCAGATGCACAGCTTTATGTTAGCAACCCTGACTCCCTTACTAGGTCCCGGGGAGCAAGTATATTCCTTATTTACTTCGGAACACCTTATCTCTAATGCGGTGCATGGCAGGTAACTGGAATACAGTGTTTGTTGAGATGAATACATATGCATTAAAATGGCCACAGTTACTCTTCTAGGGCAAAGTGCCTGTAAACTTACTTAGCAGAAAAAAAGCCATTTGGCTCCTTTCCTGCCCGAAGAGCCTCTAAGCACAAGGTGGTCCTGATTCCCCACCCCCACCCCAAACCACCTGCCCCAGCACTTCTGTGTCCCCATGCTTGGTACATGGTAGGTTCTTGATAAATGTCTGATGAAGGAAGGGTGGATGGATGGATGCATGAATAGTAAAAAAGGAAGGAAGGAAGGAGCAAGGAAGGAAAGAAAGAAGGAAGGGTAGGAATTCTCTCAGCGAGGGATACTTACTGCAGGATAGACATGGCCAATCTGAGCAGTCCTCCCTATATGGAGCTCATCTTCGTCCTCTTCTTCTGTTGTTTTCCTGTACACTGGGTTGTCAAAATTCATACTCTTGGTGTTCTTCCGCTTCCAGTTTCTCCAGATCAGGTAGCCGCTCATGCACAGCAGGGCTATTACCGCTGCAGGAAGGGGCATGAAGGGACATGCTTAGCTGACCACCGCTACAACTTTCTCCCCTTGCTTGTTGGCTCTGCTTCTGCAAAGTTCTTATTTTTTCTTTTTCTTTTTTTTTGCTCACCAGAGAGACAGAGAGAGAGAGAGAGAAGTCACCCCCCCAGAGGGGAGGGGATGGCCACACCCCAACCCCTTCTCTTCCAGTCTCCTTGGGATTTTAGGCATGTACTTACTACATACATCCAGTGTGTTTTGCAAGCCTCCAGGTCCAGGATTTGAACCACACTGTTAGCCATGTGGGATCCAGCACCTTAACTACCATGCCACCTAGTGGCCCTTGTGAGTCCTTTTTCTGCTACTCAGAAGCCTTTCTCCAGTCTTTTCTTAACTTCATTAACTGTTCATCCTGTAAGATCCAGCTTAAATGGGAAGTTCTCCCCAACGAGGCAGTCCGTTGCTCCCTCATTTGTGCTCCCAGGGCACAGGATCGTACTTATCTATCTGTGCCCCCAACTAGACTGAATCCTTGGAGGGCAGGGACTGACTGATCTACCTCTAAGCCTAGTACTGAGCATCGAGGAGGTGCTCCGTAATGTGCAGAGTGAATGACTTTCGTCATACTGCTGCTGCTTCCCGGATTTTTCTCTAGAATTGGAGGGTATAGAGAAGGGCTCCATCAGAAAAGAAGCATCTCTGGAAGAGGACACGGCAGGGAAATACAGGCTCTATGCCAGAAAAAATGGACATATTAATGAATAAAGAGGAGGCTCTCTCCAGCAGAGCTGGGCAAAGACAAGGCAAGGAGCTTTGTTAAGGTATTAAGTGAGCATTCACGTGGAGGGCAGGCTGATACTACTGCATGTATAAAGCCGAAAGGCCTAAATATGGGAAAGGAATAAACCAAACCTTTATTATGAACAGCTATTTGTATGTTTAGAAAATCTTAGAGAAGCAGGTGGAAAACTATTAAAAATAATTTTAGTCCATTAAGAATCAACATAACAAATCAATAGCTTTTATTGATTTACTTACTTACTTATTAAAATTTGCCAGAGGGTGTATGTGCTCCCAAAGAAAGATGGGATATGGGGGGGGGAAGCAAGAAGGCATCTCCCATGGGGTATGGTCATGCTGCAGTCCCTTCTCCATTTCTTCCTCTTTTTGGGATTTTGGGCATGCATATACGAACTCTTGGCATGATTTTTAAGCCATCAGTCCAGAACTTAAAACTGTGCCGTCAGCCATATGGGATCTAGTCACCTTAACTACTAGGCCATGGACTGGCCCAATAGGTTTGTTTGTTTATTTATAGAATTATTTATTTAATTTTATTTATTCACTCATTTGCTTTTTTTTTTTTTATTCATTTATTTTAATTTGACCAGAGACAGAGAGAGAGAGAAAGCAAGCTGCCAAGTTTGAGACTTGAACCGTGGTCATGTGGGAGTGTCCAGCGCCTTAACCACTATACCACCCACTGGTCCCCTCAGTCGTTTATTTTTAATTTGACAGAGAGATAGAGAGACGGGAAGTGAGAAAGCAAGCCACCAGGTCTGGGACTCAAACCATGGTCAGACATGTGAGAGTGTCCTTTGCCCCAACCACCATGCCATCCAATGGTCCCCCAATAGGTTTATTTTTAATCAGCAACAATCAATTAGAAAATGAAATGGAATAAAAACATATTCATAATAGTCTAACAAAAAGAAACTTCTTAAAACATCTGGGATAATCTAACAAGAAATGTATAAGTTCCATGTTATCTCTAAAATTCTACTACAGTACATATAAATACTAAAATAGACGTGTCATGTTCTTGTACAATAAGCCTCAATATTTTAAAATATAAAATCCTTCCCAAGTAAATGTATACATCCAAAGCAAACTCAATAAAAAATCCATCGTAATTTTTCTAGAACTGATAAACTTTTTTTTTAACTTTTTTTAATTGAGAGAAATTTTGAATATAGAACATGTGCACTCACTGGAAAGACAGAGAAACAGAAAGTGAGAAATCACCCCTCCCAGGTGGGATGGCCATGCAATCCCTTCTCCATTCTCCTCTCTCTGTATTTTGGGCAGGCACACACACACCCAGCAAGAGTTTTATGCCGCTGGGTCCAGGACTCAAACTGCGGCCATCTACATGAGAGTCCAGCGATGTAACCAGTATGTCATCTGCTGGTCCTAACAAGCGTATTCTAAAGTTCATCTAGAAGAGGGACCAGCAGTTAGCGTAATGGCTATGTCGCTGGACTCCTACGTAGTCGACCATGGTTCGCGTCCCGGACCCGGTGGCTTAAAACTCATGCCGGGTGCGTGTGCGTGCATGCCCAAGATCCCGAGAGGAGAACGGAGGAGAAGGGATTGCGGCATGGCCATCCCCCCTGGGGGTTGATTTCTCGCTTTCTGTCTCTGTCTATCTGGCGAGCACACGTGCCCTATAGCAAAAACCTCTCCAAAAAAAAAAAAAAAAAGAGTTAAATAAAGTTCATCTAGAAGAGGAGAAAAATTTTAGGTAAAATAGCTAAGAATGGGCCAGCTGGTGGTGTGCTGGCTAAGATGCTGGATCCCACAGGGCTGACTTCGTAGTCTGAATCCCAGATCTGGCAGCTTGAAAAATCACACCTGGCACGTGTGCATGCATGCCCAAAATCCTGAGAAAAGAGTGGAGAAAGGATTACAGTGTGGCCATCCCCCCTGTGGAATGATTTTCCATTCTGTCTCTATTTATCTCTGTCCAGTAAGCACATGTATCCTATAGCTAAACTAAAAAAAAAAAAAAAAAGCTAAGAAAATGTGAGGTATACCAACAACAAATTGTGTTCCTAGGTTACAAGCATAGACAGATCATTGGTGGAAGAGAATAAACAGCCTAGAAGCAGATCGAAGTGAATATGGGTATGTAGTTTATATAAAGATGACAATTCAAGTTGGAGGAAAGTAATGGTTTTGGGGAAACTAGACAGGTTTGTAGGAAAAAAAGTTAAATCTCTGCTTTATACCATACACTAAAATGAATTCCAAATTTCCAAATAGCTGAATATCTAAATACTAAAAAACATTTTAAATAGAAAAAGAAAATATTGGGAGATATTCTAATAAACCGCAGTTCAAGTCCTGGACCTAGTGGCTTGCTTTCTCACGTTCTCTCTCTCACTCTGTCCCTCTCCGGTCAAATTAAAATAAATAATTAATAAAGTTAAATGAAATAATTCTTAAAAATAAAATCTTGGGGCCTCTTTCATGGCCTAGTAGTTAAAGGAGCTGGATCATCCAGGCAGTTTGAATCCTGGCCCCACTGGCTTGAAAAACACAAGGCACAGGGTTTGCATGCCCCAGGTCGTGATGGGATAGAGAAATAGAGAAGATACTGCTTGTACCGCATTGAGGGTGCCAGGTTCCCCACCCTTCCAGTGCTCTTCCCCAGGGCCACACTCACCGATGGGCACGACGATCCCAATGACTGCAGCAGTGACCGTTGAGCCCATCTTGCCATCTTCATTTCCGTCTGCAAAACACAAGCATTTGTGCAATGATGCTTCATCACTGTGAGCTCAAGCCCTTACTAGCCCGAGCAGTAAGAATTACCCAACTGCTTCTTGCCCTCATTTCAAAACAGTGATCCTGGCTTAAAATCCAGTCTATCCCACTCCTATCAAAGCTCCGACAGAGGTTACCTGCATTTCACAGGTGGGGAAACTGAGCCTAAGGGGTTTGAGGACTTGCAGATAAGTGGTGCAGTTAGGATTTGAACTCAAGACTCACAGGTCAAGGTCCATACCCTTCCCACAGCATCATGGTGGTAGGCGGCTAGAGGCTAAATATGGCAGGGTGAGCACTTGGGTCTTGGTGTTGCTGACTGACTCGGTCAACTGCTGCTCTGTCTCTATTGGTTTTGGTAGTCTGTGTGTCCATGGTTATTAAAATGGGACATAGTGGACCAGCAGGTGGCATGGTAGTTAAAGTGCTGGATCCCATATGGCCGACTCTGTGGTTTGAGTGACTTAACAATCACTCCAGGCACTTGTGCAGCATGCCTCATGTCCTGAGAAGAGAATGAAGGAGAAGGGACTGTGGCATAGCCATCCACCTGGGGTGGTTGGAGGGTGAGTTCTTACTTTCTCTCTGTCTTTTTCTGGAGAGTGCACATGCCCTATAGCAAAAACCTAAAAAAAAAAAAAAGAAAGAAAGAAAGAAAGAAAATAAGAAAAAGAAACAAACAAACAACAACAACAAAAATAGGACATAGTATAATGCAGTGGAATTAGAGCACAGGTTCCTGGGTCAACCTCCTGGCTTTGAGTCCGGGTTCTATACTCACTGTTATGTGACCTTGGACAGTAATCACATAACAGGTTATGTTCTATTTCTATCCTTAAAATGGAGTTAATGATACTATCTACCCCCTAAGAAGAGGTAAGGATTCAATGAGATAATTCATACCAATATTTGAGCATAGTACTTGGCATAGTCTTGCCTAGTTCGAAGAGGGCAGAAAGTGGGGTAAGTCTTGTTTGAAGCCTACATAAACAAGGTAGGGAGAAGCACATTTTAAACTGTAGAGTGCTTGGAAATGTACTTTATTTTTTCAAGTATGCTGTGCTACCTTCCTTACCGCTATAACTATCTTCATTATTACAGCTGCACAGCACTCTGGTTTAAAAAAAGCATCTTCCCCTTGGATCCTCATGACAGCCCCTGAGGTGTGAAGAGGGGCCATCATCTAGGTTTGCTCCCAGGGAAAAGATGACTGCCCCTTGGCAAGGGCCCACATCCCATCCTTTGTGTGTCTGATTTCCAAGTTACTCCAAGGGGACCTACTATTATGGGGAGGAAAGAACTACACTGCTTGCAACGTTTATTGTGAAGATGGGCCGGCCAGTGGCATGGTGATTAAGGCAGCTGGATCTCACATGGCTGACTCTGCAGTTTGAGTCCCAGATCTGGCAGCTTGAAAAACACACTAGGCGCTTGTGCGTGCGTGCCCTAAACTCAGAAGAAGAAATGGAAGAGAAGGGATTATGGTATGGTCATCACCCTTGGGGTGGGGTGGTGCTTTCTCACCACAAAGCCCCTTTTCCCCACAAGCACATATGCCCTCTAGCAAATTACAAAGAAAATGCCACTGTTCTCTTGCTCCAAGCCAGAATGGCAATATTAAAGCCAGGAACATGCTGAAGGCCATGCCGAGGGGCTGGCCAGAGGCTCTGCCCCTAGACAAGAGACGCTGGAATTCACGTTTCATCGGCCTCCCAGACTTCAGGGATAGTGCTCAACTGCACAAACAGCTTTGCTGACAAAACAGGCCCGATTAGAAAGGTGCAGTTGAGCTGCTTAGTTTCTAGGCCACCCATGAATGGGAAAAAATAAAAGAACTTAAAGATGGTTTTTCCTTTTAAATGAACTCCCCCTGGCAGCTAACTCAATTAAAAAGGTGTTTGCTGGTAATGAGACAGAACATTTCTAGCAGTGACAAATTACGACTCCCAGTGATTTAGTAAGTGACGAACTTAATTATTTTCATTCCAGGGTTGGGAAAGAGGTATGAGTTCCCCTCTGGGGAGCTTCCTGAGGCTGCTGGGAACTGAGATCAGGGCTTTCCAAACCCGAGAGCACCCGTCACACACGTTAGGCGCTCCTGGGAGACAGACGCACACGTACCCAGAGCAGCAGAGGCTGTGTGCACGCACACTTCCGTTTACGCTGCCTCGTCTGTCTCTCATCACAGTCTTATAAAAGCAGGTGGGGAAAGGGTTATGCTTATTTCCAGTTTGTAGGAGAGGAAACGGAGGCTCAGAGACAGGATGTAGCTTCCTCCAGGCCCTCTATAATTTAAGGGTGCCAAAGACCCCTACATCACAGGCTGGGATTCTACCTCCCTCTGCTTCCTCCTGGGTATACAGTACTCTGCTCGGGTATGCTCTTCTCTCCCCACCCTGGCCTCCCTGGCACCCCTCCCCCAGGTCAGGAAAGAACGTGCAGCTCATGTCCTTACAGTGCTGGGAGTGGTTGCTGGTTGCAGGCCTCTGGGTAGATGGGCTGAGGCTGGGAGCTCTGGGGACACTAGCTGAGCTGGAGACCGCAGTTGCCAAGCTTGGTGTCTCTGTGCTGTGGTTCTGGTAGGCGGGGCTGTGGATGGTGGTCCCAGGGGCTCTTGTGGTAGCAGCTACTGTCCTCATCATGGTAGAGGCTAACGTCGTAGTTGAGGTAGATTGAGGTGCTGGAGGGGAAGTATAGCAGAGGTCACTAGACAGAGAATTTTGTTGCTTTATTTGCCTAAGTTATTGCCCCTTACAAATTATACTTAGGAATCCATCTTCAAAGCCTGGCCCAAATGCCTCTTCTGTGAATCCTTCCCTTATCCTCTAGAATGGGCTATGATCTTTTCTTTAGCTGCATCCTGAGCACTTTGATTTGATAAAGATGAGTCATTAAAACAGGGTTAGGTGTGGGGAAGATGATTATGAAAGATGGGCTGGAGGGGAAAATCACAGAAATCTAGAAGGATTTTACAGTTATTGTTACACCATTGGATTTAAATTCTTACTCCACCTAAACACCCAAGATGAAGTCCTAAAGATGCAGCAGACTTATACTCAGATAAAAGGCCTGGGCCACACATACAGTTTACATGTCTGAAGTCTTAACTATTAGTCCCAATCATATTACAAAAGGGCTTCCATGCAGTGTGATAAGAAACAGGTAGGAAGAGTCTGCATATAAATAGAAACTGAAGCCGCGAAGCTCAAGAGTTCTCAACTTGAGGTTTTCGAGGAGTTCTAGGAACTCCCTACAACTGAATTAAAAATGTTTTACATCAGGATCAGCAGATGGCATAATGATTACGTTGCTGGACTCCCATGTAGTTGACCACGGTTTGAGTCCCAGACTCGGTGGCTTCAAACTAATGCTGGGGGTGTGTGTGTGCATGCCCAAGATCCCGAGGGGAGAAAGGACTGCAGCGTGGCCATCCCCTCTGTGGGCGATTTCTCGCTTTCTGTCTCTCTGTCTCTCTGGTGAGCACATGCACCCTATAGCACAAATCTCTCTTAAAAAATCTTTGGCATGCCTGTGCATTTTAATTTTTTTTCATAGAGAAGAGAAGAAAGACTGAGACGGACCCTGGGGACATAAGCATGTGAAGGTTAAAAGAAGAGGGCCCTGCAAAGGCAACAAGAAGTAGCCAGAGAAGATGGAAGAAAAGGAGGATATTGTGTTCCAGCAGCCGGGGGAGATTTCAGGATGGAGTCTGGCACTGCTGGGGGCTACCCATGTCAGAAGCTCTGCTTACCTCTGTAGCACCTCTTCATGTCTGGGCCCAGCCACATGGTGTCAGGACAGGCACACGTGTACTTGGGAGAGTGGCTGGAGGTCTGAGGAGCAGGAAGGCACAGGTACTCACAGCCTCCATTGGGTTGGGCACTCAGCTCGCAAGCATCTGCAGCTGATGGCAGAGAAAGAGGGAGACAGTTGGGGCCAGACAATGGGGCACGTCAGGTCTTCCTGCCTCCCCAGGATGAGGCCCCTCCCACTTGGCTTGTGCAAAAAGCTTTCCTCACTTTTTTTCTTTTAATGAGAAAGAGAGAGAGAAAGAGACAGAAACAGAGAGAGGGAAAGAAACAAGTGTTTTGACAGGGGCTGGTTATGTTGCGGTTCTCTGGGCCCAGTCTTACAGTTAGCTATAACAGAATTGCAGGCCTATGCTACCATGATCAGCCTGTGTAGGCTGGTCTGAGACCTGAACCGGGGTCTCCCATGTGGTCCTAGCCTCATGCAGTGGTTCCCTATGGCTTGTGCCACTGTGGCTGGCCCTCCCCACCACTTTTACTGGGCACCATCCAGCACTGTGCCTGGTGTTTCTGACTGCATACATTCATTTAATCCTTACAACAATTCTGAGAGGTGGATATTATGTCCCAGATTGACAGATAAAGATACCGAGGCTCAAAGAGAACTAATTGGCTGAAGCTATACCTGCAGGAATTTGAGAGAGAATTTGAACTGAGGTCTGTTGGACTCTGAGCCCCACGTGTTCTTCCCAGGTCACATGCCATCTCTCTCTCTCTTTCTCTCTCTCTCTCATTTAAATTTCTAGATCTAGATTCAAGTACCAATCTCATCTTCTTATCCTCCTTTGCTTTCCCACCTCCACCCTGGCAGCCAACATCTCAGTAATGATTAGGACTGGTTTATCTAAGTGGTAGGTGAGGGTCCAGCCTAGTTGTAGAATACTAGCTGACTTACAATATGGGCCTAGGATTATTAGCTTATAAACTGCAAAATGGGTACAAACAGCCAACAGGAAGCAATATGCCAGAGCAGAAGGAGCTGTGGAATCAGACAGACCCAAGTTTCCGTTTAGCTCTGCCATCTGCCAAGATTGTTTTACCTCTCCGAGCTTCTGTACTCTCAACTGTTAAATGAGAAGAGAAAGGCCTAGCCTTTGCAGGATTGGCAAAAATAGGACATTTAGATACTTATGTATACTCAGTGTTATTTCACAAAGAGCTTGAAGCAAAATGAGACAAAATATGGGATGACAAAGCACTCTACCAGCAAAAGGATTGCTGTTGTCATTCTTGGGGGTGCTGAGTTGTGACATAAACACAAACACAACCTGCGTAGAGGGAACGGACACAGCAGGGGACCTGGGACCTGGGACCAGGAAAGGCTCACCTTTTGGCTGCTTCAGCTCATGGAAGATGACAATGTCATGTGGGTTATTGAGATTCTCAGCCAGGATGGAGATTTCCAGGCCATTGAGCCGATTTGCACTGAAAATGGCCTCATTCTCCAGGTCTGTCCAGAAAACCTTGTCCTGCGGGGTACAGATGCAGAGAATGAGAGGCCCCGAGTCTGAACCCATGACCTTGGGCTGAGGGCTCAGCTCTGAGCAATCGCCCTGGCATCTTCCCTGAGTTATCCTGTCTGCAGATTCATGTAGAGTGCCTGGCCTTCGCTCTGTGGGGGTCCTTCTCCTGGTTCCTTGTCAGAGAGGATTATTTGGAGATCCTGTGCTTTGGCCTGAAGGTCACAAAGCTACTCAGTAACGTGGGCTAGGTCTGTTTCCTGCAGTCCAGCAGAGAGCCAAGGTCAGGCCTCTGTAGTTATTACCATTCCTGGGGCCTAGGACCAAGATGGTAGGGGATGCGAGAGCTCCTGAGGGTTGTTCCCTGCAGGGCCTCCCGCAGCCCCTACAGCCTCTGTACACTGTGTGTGTGTATGTGTGTGTGTGCACACATGCGCACACACGTGTGTGTCTCCATATCATTAGTCCAAACAGGCCCAGCCATGCATCTATAGGCAAACCTACATTTACAACCATGCTTTCTCATACACAGATCTAGACACATAGCCAGACGCTCATCTGCACATTCGTACATACGTAAGCACTTGTCCGATCGTGGCAAACGTATTCACACATGCAAGCTCCAGGAGGTATAGGAATGAACACCTTTCCCCTGATGCATGTCTATCCACACATGCACTACACATACTACACATGCACATGCCACAGGTATGCACAAGCACATATACATGTGTCCAGACACACCTGTCTTTTGAAGCAAGGCTGGTTTGGTGGAACTTTGCCCACAATTTCAAAGCAGTGCTGAGTGAGGTTGTGCCAAGTCTACTGCCAGCGCCCACCACAGACCACTGTCCCCGCCTCCCTCCCTTTGGTGGCAGTTAGTCTGGGGAAGAGGTGGGTGTGTGACCTTGGTTGGTTCTGGCTTCCTGATTCCCCCAGGAGAAAGGCTGTTAGGCTCAGAACACAAGAGGGTATTAACTCCTCACCTTTTGGGAGCTTCTTGAGGCCTGGAATAGTGTCTGATTCACTTTTATGGCCCCAGGGTTCAGCAAAGGTCAGTACAAGTGTGCTGAATTGGGGACCAGCAGATGACATAGTGGTTGGACTCCCACATGGCCAAGCATGGTTTGTCCCAGACCCAGAGGCTTGAATCTCACACCAGGTGCATATGCACGTGTGCCCAAAATCCCAAGGGGAGAACGGAGAGGGGACTGCGGCATAGCCACCCTCTCTGGGGGATGATTTCTCACTTTCTCTCTTTTTGTTTCTGTCTCTCCAGTGAGCACACACATCCTATAGCAAAAAAACAAACAAACAAAAGCACTCTGTCTTAAAAAAAAAAGTGTGCTGAACTGAAGAGCATCTCTCGGGCCGTTTCCTGCAGTAAATGACTTTAAGGAAATGAAATTCCTCTTCCCTTCCTCCCTGCACTGGGTTCCTCCGGTCCATGTGGTGTGGTGCTGGGCGTGAGGGTACAGCGGAAACACACAAGTCTGGAAACTCACCCATGACAAGTGCCCTGAGAGAGGGGTCTCGGGAAGAGCCCGGGAGAGGCTGCCAGGCAGGCAGCGGGCTGCGGAGCCTCGGTATGCAGGCGGCTCAGACTGGACAGCCAAGTCACTTGGCTCCCCCGTCCCCTTGTTTCCATCTGGACAAGTCTCAGAGTCGTCCTCTCTGAACAAGCCTTTTCTAGGCTTTAGCCTCCCAGTGGAGCCTGCCTTCTGTCACGGGGCTCACCTCAAACACAGCGATCCCAAAAGGGTGGCTCAGGAAGTCAGTGGAAAAAATCAGCATCTTCCTGTTCCCTCCACTGAAGTCAATGCTGGACAGCTGGTGCAGCTTGGAGTCCACCCAGTACAGGCGCTGGTTCAGCAAATCTTGGGGAGGGAGAAGGAAAGAGAGGAGCGGTCGAGTCATAAACCTGGGACCCCGGCCCTGGACACCTTTTCCTCTGTACCCCCTCTCTGTCTACATTTCCAGGTCTCAGACTGAGGGCAGTCGTCAGGGAACAAAGGCACCAGCACCATGAAAGGACCCACGAGACGCTTGGTGTCGGGATCAGGCGCTAGGACAGGCTTCCACTCCAGGGGAGGCAGGGCTCACCCAGTGTGATTCCGTTGGGCCATTCAATGTTGTCTGACACCAGTGTTTGCCGGTCCACACCATTGAGCCCCGACTTCTCGATCTTGGCCTGGTACCCCCAATCGGACCAATACATAAACCTGGAAGACAGAAAAACTCAATTTGGCTTCTTATAAGGGACATGACTGGGGTGGTCAGCGCTACAAGGGATCAAACGACCCACTGAACAGTGAGCATCATGCTTCACGGGGGCTGGAAAGACCTCAGGAATCCTTTGGAACCCTCAGGGCCTAGAATCAGCAAGTTCTTTAACCTTTGCCTCATTTGAGAACCCAGGAACGCCTGTACTCCCCAGGAGCTCTTCCTGTTAGCAGCAGGTGAGCCGGTCGCCCTGCCCCCGTTTCTAGCAGCTGTAACTAGTGTC